CCTCTCCTCAGGAAACGCCTCTGTCCTGGCTGTCAGTCATCCCCCTGAGCACCTCGGGATGCCGGCGGAGGATTTCAATCAAATTTGTCAGGGCTGGAATGCGTGTCCGGGCGCGGGATCCGCCCCGGTGAGCGAGCACAGCTCGGGCACGTGTGGGTCATTCCCGGAGAGCGGCAGCGGCCAAGAGCAGGATCCGGGAGCCTGGGGCAGGCTGGAATGCCGCGGAGCAGGCAGCAGCCTCGGCAGGAGCTGATCTGCTCCTGGGGCGGCTCGGGAGGGGTGGCAATGCCCGGGCTGCTCGCTCCAGGCCGGATCCAAGAGGTGAGAGAAGGTGGTTGTCAGGGAAATCACCGAGCTGCTGGCCTGTGTTCAGAGCTGAACAGAACAAATACTCCATGCACAGAGGGGGAAAAAAAAGCTTTTTACAGGTTCCTCTGCCTGTGCACACAACAGGTTCTACACCCAGGGGTGCTGGGCACGGAACAGGCTCCCCAGGGAAGTGGTCACAGCACGAGTCTGCCAGAGGTCAGGAAGGGTTTGGAAACCCTCAGAAGCACACTTGGGGCTGTCCTTGATGCTCTGCGTGGCTCCATTCCAAACCAGGGTATTCCACAGCTCCAGCAGGAGCTCAAACCCTCCGTGGAGCAGAAAAGGCTGAGCTGGTCCGGCAGCAGGGCTGGGAGATGGGATCAGAGTGAGGGACAGAGCAGAATCCTCACCTTCAGCCTGCCCTTTGCCATCCTGGGGCAAGCAGGGAGCTGTGGGACAGGCAGGAGGCTGTGCCAGCCCAGGGACAGGCATTGGGGCTGTGCCATCCTGGGCAGACAGGCAGGGGGCTGTGCCATCCTAGGGCAGACAGAGGGCTATGGGACAGGCACTGGGGCTGTGCCAGCCCCGGGCAGCCCAGCCCGGCCCGGCAGCTCCCGGGGAAGGGACACATCAATGGAGCGTTTGTCCCGTGCTGGGCAGCGGGCGCCGAGCCCCGAGCGCGGCTATAAATGGCAGGGGAGGCACACAGACAGGCCGTTCTCTCCTCCGCTGCAGCCCAGGAGCAGCCTTCGCAGCCGGGACGAGGAGGAGGAGGAGGGCAGCCAGGGAGAAGCGCTGGCACGCTGCGAGGGAAAAGCTGCACGGAGATAGAATGGAACGGAAGCGCCGAGCCGGGCCTAGCGAGCGCCTGCACGGAGCTGGTGCCGCCCGGGCACGGAGCCAGGCTGGAGGCAGCGGGGCTGCAGCAAGATGCTTCTTGCATGCTGCAGTCAGGACAAATTCCTGCCGTTTCAGTGAGCTTGGAGCACGGCCAGGTGTCCTGCCAGGAGAAAAAGCTGCAGCTGCAGCAGCCGCAGGCAGCCCCGGGAGCTCTGCAGGGCTGGGTGGTTTGGATGCTCCTGCAGCAGAGGGGCTGTGGGCACCGTGCCACCAGCCCTGGTCACAGAGCTGGGCACTGCCCCGGCCACGGGCTGAACCTCGGGGCTGCATTCACGGCCCTGAGCTCAGAGCCAGGCTGAGGGGAGCACTGCAGCAGCACCTGGGCCTGGATTGCACCCAGCACAGCCTCAGGCACGGCCTGACTGACCCATCACCCCTCTGCTCAAAGGGGAAAATAATGACAGACTACAGGCTGTGAGAAAATATGTAGGGTTTTTTTTTTTATTTGACAATTAACAAAAGAGGGATGGGAATCTGGGCTGTAAACATTGATAGCTCCTTTCTGATCACAACGAGTACTTTCCACCAACATCCCTTTGTATGCTCTGATCCACCCAACAATGCCCAGCCAACTCTGTCAGGGCTTTTGCTGCTCTGCTCAGGGTCACAAATCCAGAGGCAGCTCATTCACCACACACCCACAGCAGGAGCAGCACCCACACAGGAGACAGCTGAGGGACTCAGATACCTCAGAGCTGCTTCCATAGGTGAGAGACACTTGGAAAAGGCAGGAGATCATGCTGGGCTTGGGCCAGAAAGAGGGAAACATCTCTAAACCCAGCAGGTCTGAAAGAAATGAGCCCTGAAAAAGGCAGAGCCTGCCCAAGCAGGGACAGGGGCTGTGGCAGTGCCAGCCCAAGCAGGGACAGGGCAGTGCCAGCCCTGCCGTCAGAGGGAAGCTTTGGCCCAGGACTGTGAAGATTTGGAGCTGCAGAGCCAGCAAGTCTGTCCCAGAGAGGGACTGGCACATCGTCAGCTCCATTGTTGCAGTGGAACCAGAACTGCCCGGAGCTTGACAGGGGGAAGTGAAACCTCATCTTGGGCTGGAGGGCAGCCAGGGCTGGAGGAGCTGCACCCAGCTGCCAGCCCTGTCACCCGCAGCACACAGCCTCTCCTGGGACACAGCCCTCCCCAGCACACGGCTTCTCCTGGGACACAGCCCTCCCTGCCCCAGGAGGAACCACCCTGCAGGTGGGTCAGAACCAAGCCCAAGGGCTCCGGGCACCTCTTGCTGCTCTCAGCAGCAGGGAGGGTTCTGGTGCCACCCTCCCTGTGCAGCAGCAGGGAAAGGCAAAATGCACGACTCCAAAGAACAGAGTTTAAAACAGAAACCTCCCCCAGCTGACACAGCCACAGCACTCCCCGGGCTCAGAGCTGCTCTGGACTCGGGCAGATCCATTCCAGAAGCTCAGCCTGCCCCTTTCCAGGTTCCCAGCTGGTTCTGAGCCTGGTTTTTGGTGGGAACAGGGTTGGGGCATCTCCTCATCACACCACCCGGATGGACAAGCAAATAAAAATAATCCAATGAATTAGAATACACTGTATTTATTCGTAACAGATTCTAAAGAATCTAGTGAGTCTATGTCAAGCCCATCGCATGACAAGTGATACAGGTGTAGGAAAAAAAAGACATTTAAAACAAACAAAACAACAAAAAAAAAAAAGAAATCAAGTGCCATTCAAGCTACTGGAATCTTCCAATTGCCCCCTCACAAGAGGCAGCACAGTATCACTGCAAGGTCTAGAAAAATTCAGGTTCAAGCCACTCACAAGAGTCCCACCACACACACTCCATAAATCCAAAGTGCAATCTCAATGGTAGGTCGCCCTATCGAGCTGTTGGCTGTAGGGGATCTGTTCGGACACCTCAAAGGGAAGGAGGGAATCTCAGTTTAGTGTGTCTGTGGGCAGGAGCAGCCTGTAAAAAACACGCTACATGGCATCTATGCTCCATTTCAAACGCAAGGAAAAAATCTCACCTTCCTCAAAGCCACAGGAGCGGCACAGTCAGGCTCCCACACGCAGCCCCAGACCAGCGTGACCCTGCATGGGAAACGCCAAGCTCCCAGCACGGGATGGGGCTCTGGGAGCTGGGGGCCGCCACGAGGGCTGGGCTGAGCTCAGGGGGCACCAAAACCCGCACGGGGTCAGCGCCACTGCCCAGCCCCGGGGCAGGGAGCAGAGCTGGGCTCCAGCGATGCCAAGCGCCACCCCCACCCCCTGACTCCCCATCCGCGAACCCCCACCCCAAAAAAGGTACCAATCTGGCTGTACACATTCCAAGGATCTAGTCTTTATTTCAATCTGCCCGGCTATTACAGTTTTGTCACAAAAACAAAAATAAACCCCAAAAAACACGAGTTAGTAAAGGTACCGGATAGGTCAGCAGCGGGAAGCCCGGCGCTGTTCCCGAGCAGCTCCCTGGGGAACGCCGGCTGCCCGCCCCTGAAACCTGAGACTCTGGGGCTCGGCAGCCCCGGCACCTCCCGAAAATCCTCCGGGCTCCGGACACTCGACAGCTTCAGAGCCACACGGGACTGAGAGCGCCAGACCCTGCAAACAGCACAGGGCCTGCTCACAAGACATTGTTTCCCTAAGGCCAACTAACCTCACCCCTCCTTCTGCCCCCAGGCTCCATTTCTAGCTAGAGAATGAATTTCAAATGCTATCAGGGAATCACAGAGCTGGGAATGGGCTGCTTTGGAGATGGGACCTGCCCAAGGGATGATCTCCAGCGTGAAGAGGTCTGTCCACCTCCCTGGAGGACACAGCGACAGCTGGAAATGACTGACCAGTGACCTGGACGCTTTGTGCTTCAAAGGACAAGCCTCACCTTCCCCATGGCCCAGCTGGCCTGTGGCTTTGTGCATTAAAATCACACTGCATGTCAAAAAAAAAAAAAAAATTGGAAGAGCAGCATTTCAAATTCCCCTAGAAAAAACAGGATTAGGTTTGGCAGCCTGGGGCAGGCTCCTGGACAGATCATCTGCCTCACTACATTTTGGCACTGCAGACTTGGGAGCTTGAAGAAATCCAAGTGTAGGTCCCTGCTGCCTTTTTTCCAGCAAGCCCCGCACAGCATTTTCACCATGCACTCCCCCCTTGCCAGTGCTCCCAGTTTCAGGCATTTCCAACCCCCCGGGTTGGGCAGCCCCACTTTGGCAGCTCTTGGCTCCAGCTGGTCCTGGACAGAGAGCAAGTCATGCCCAAACCCCTGAGCCACACAGAACCTGCTCTGGCCTCAGCCAGGATAAGAAATGATCTTGCGACCCCTCCCACCCACGACAGAAACGTTTTCCTCCTCAGACATTCCCCACTCGAGCTCTGGGCCATCAGCCCCCGCAGAAAATAATAAAGTTTACAGTACAGTTGTGTTTATATTGTTACAGGCACTTAAACAGGATTCTTTGGTCCTTCAAAGGAATTAGCCACCCTGGCTTCTCTCGGCAGAAACCACAAGTTTGCACACCCAGAACAACTCCTGCACTAAAAAAAACAAACCACAATTCAGATCCGTTTCAGGGCAGTGCAGCTCTACCTTAGCGTAATTCTACAGTCTCCCCTCACACACCCCACCCACCCCGCTGCCTCCACAATTCCATAAGGAGTCATTCCCATAACACTGCACTTCCCATCACAGTGTACAGCAGACAAGGCTCGTCCCAACAATCCCAGGAACGAGACACTCGAGCAAGAGTCCAGGAAGTTTCCTTTTGTTGCAGTTCTGGGAAGGTCGGTAGGCTCCGTTTGCTCCCCCCTGCCCACCCTCCCAACCCCCCAAGGCACGGAAATACCTTGGAGCACAGACCCTGGGGTTTGTCCCGGCTCAGTTACAGGGCAGCCACGTGGGGTAGGACTGATTGCAAGGCAGGAAGGGCTGCACGTGGGTCACGTAGTAGTTGAAGTTTATTTCGCTGACATAAGGGGCCGGCTGGTAGAAGCAGGTAACGTTTGTGACCGTGGGGATGATGTTCTGCTCAGCCAGGACCCTCACGGCCAGCATGGCAATGAGGTTCAGGGTCTGCCTCCTCTCGTGTCCCATGAGGCAGACCGTGCTCTCGTTGACCACCCTGTGCAGGGTCATCAAATAGTCATATCTGTTGCTCTCCATGCCCACGAAGTGGCTCTGCAGGTAGCACTCCAGCTTCCGCAGCTGCTCGCCGATGTCAGAGAAGTCTATGAAGAACCTGGAGCACATGTACCTCTGCAGGGCCTTCATGTCCACCTCGGACTTGGGCTTGAAGCCCCTGACGAGGAGGTTGCAGTACTTGAGGAGCCCCCCGCCGCGGATCTCCTCGGGGTTGCGCGTGGCGATGACGCGGTGCCGCAGGTGCTCCATGGCCTCCTCGAAGTCCCCGTACATGCTCTCCCCGGTCACCGTGGGGTGGAAGTTCTCGGCCATGGGGTTCTCCGAGCACTCCCCGAAGAGCAGCAGCGAGTCCAGGATGATCTGGAAGGAGTCCACGCTGAACTCGAACTGGCGGCGCAGCGAGTCCACGAACTTGAGCTCCACGTTCTTGCCGCTGTTGTTGGAGAGCGAGATGAGGCTCCAGCGGTCGGTCTCGTTGCACACTTTCACCAGCTTCTGCACGTAGGCCTCCTTCAGGGTCACAGGCGTGATCTTGTCCTTGTTGACTCCTTCGGGGAGGAAGTCCAGCAGGCAGTCCATGACCACATCTTTCACCAGCTGGAAAACGTCCTCGTTCTTCAGATCCACGCCGAAGATGAGGTCCAGGTCCTTGTAGCCCAGGCCGCTGTCCTGGTGCAGGACATGGCTGGCGGCCGAGCCGTTCAGCCTGACGTTGTGCACCGGGATTCCCTTCTTCTCCAGGCGGCTCCGGACAACCTGGGGCAGAGACAGAGCCAGTGAGAGCGGGAGGGAGCGGCCTGGGGGCAGCAGGAGCGCTCCCCGCGCTCACACAGGTCACTCCAGCGCAGGACAGCGAAATAAAAAGCTAATCCATCGGAAATGGGTCACTCTGGAAAGCATCCCGAGTCCTGCCAGCAGCTGGGGTGGCTCTCCTTCACTTATTCCCTGGCATTAGAGATCTCACTGCACATGATCAGCTGCTCGGCTTCCAGGGCAGGGTCTGCTCTCCCTGCCTTCCCCACTCTGGCCTGGAGGGCCTTCCTGACCCCATTTTTTGGGGTGGTCTCTGCCCTCTACGTCCCCTCCCCGCTGCAGTGACCAAGTCAAGAGCAGCCGACCCCAAAGTGACCCCAAAGAGGAGGTGGCAGCACAGTCTGCAGCAGTCCCTGTGGATTTAATCAGGGTGGCTCACTCCTTTTAGCCATCCCCTCGGCCTGTCAGGATTCATTAAAGGCAAATCAAGATGCCAGAGCAGCTCAAAAGCCCCAGCCAGGCGTATGCAAGTTCATGTCCCAACTAGTAAGTGTATCCTAACAATTTCCAGTGTGTCAGAGCTTCGTGCTGAGCTTGGCGTGCTATCAAGCACAAGAGGCAGCTTTCATCTTACGGGTGTTACTCCGGTGATTTTAATGCTGCCTGCTCAGTCCTGGCACACCCAGCAGCCCCTCCAAAGCTTTGTTCATTTACTGGGAAGCTGAATCACCTGCCTGATTACTTAACAAGCAGGAGGCTAAAATAACCCCCAAGACCATAAAATAAACTATCTGGACACCAGCTTATAATTTGAGTTTAACTCATCTCAAAGATCCCAGGAAGATTAGGTTTGCACCTTCCAGCAGAAGCTCTCCCCACGTCTCATCCTGCTTTCGTGTTCCCCTCCAGCCATTTCCCATTTTCCTGGGAGTCCCAACCAGCCAGCCCAGGGCAAGGCCATGGCTTGAAAGAGCCGAAGCTTGGGACACAAATGGACAAATTGGATCATCAAGAGCCAGTCTGACTGGGCCCTGGGAGCCTGCCCTAGTTTGAGAGGCCCTACAAACTCTGCATTTTGGCTGCCCAAAACGTGAATCTCAATTCCAAGCTGCATCACAAGGGCCAAACCCTCTTGGCCGCCCTGGGCCTGAGCAGTTCTGGGGGAGACCAGAAGCGTTGCAGATCTGGTCCCAGCAGCAGTAAAGCTGCCCCTCCATGGGTTTTGTTTGGAAGGAAGAACACACAAAAGGTCAGGGACTGCAGCAGGGAACCCTCATCACATCCCAGACCCTCTGTGACCGTGCCAAGGCCCACAGCAAGTTCTGCTGCCTTCCCAAAAACACCCCAGAACAAATTCCCGGTATCTGCACACCTGGGAGGCCGTCAGGGCTCAGGAAGCAGCTCCCTGGTGGTGCTTCCCCCCTCTCCTGACAGGAGCCATCCCTGCTGGGCTGGAAGGGCAGCCCAGCCCGTGGTGACAGTCACATGCCAGGCACAGTGAACCAGGGGCTGCTCCCCTGGCAGCCAGGCCACACCTGCCCAGCCAGGGAGTGAAGCTGTTTTCCAGCCTGAAAGGACGGATCTGCTCCTAGAGGACACGCAGGGCTGCCGCCCCAAAGGGAGCAGACATCACCCAGGGGAGCTGCTGGCCTGCCCTGCTGCCAGCTGCAGTCACTCACCCGGGGCACAGCTCCAGCACTGCTCGTGCACTCAGAGCCTGCTCCCAGGCTCACAGACACAAGATATAGGTCACAAAGTCTTAGAGGCAGAGCTGGGCCCGGTGCTCGGAGAAGATCTCGTTCCAGATTAATTTCCTGACCCCAAAGAACATTTGCTTAACCCCTTTATGGGCACGGCTCAGGACCTGCAGTGTTCCAGGCCCACAGGCTCCAAGCTTACTCAAGTTCCCCAGGCTGTCTGTGTGAGATATATTCAGAAAACAGGGAAAAGACCCAATTGCTCCAGTCAGTGTCATCCCAAACCATCCCAGAAATCTCCAGCCTGCTGGGCAGCAGGGAGCAGAGCACTCTGCCATTCCCTGGGAGCTCCCAGCCCCCAGCCCTCAGCTGGAGCTCATCCCCCCTGGCTGCAGGCAGTGGGTTCAGGGCTGCACGTTCCCCCAGAGGGCTGGATATTTGCAGGGTTAGGCAGCTGCTGACCTGCTTCCCAAAACAGCAGCTCACCTTCCGTGCGGTCGGGATAATTGACCGTGACAGCCAGGCAGGAGCAAATCCTGCTGCGTCCTGACCTGCGCCTCGCAGCTCCCCGGACAACAACAACAGGATAAATAACTGCCTTTTGGGTTACTTGTTCAGCTTAGTCAGCCCTAAACACAGGCTCTGCCAGCACGGCCGGGCACAATTACAGCCCTCAGCTATCCCGTGCTGGAGGCTGCTGCTGGCAGCATCCTTTGGGCAGCCCCACGAGCTGCTGCAGGGCCAGGGCAGCCTCCTCCTGCCTGCAGCTCTCACCATCTGCCGTTCCACCCAAGGCAGCCAAGCCCAGCGCCGCTGCTGCCCCGGCAGCAACTCGAGGAATCCCACACCGGCCTTTCAAATGTCACCTTCCGTCTCCCAGGCTCAACTCTGACTCCTTCTCAAGCAGCCGAGGCTCCAAAATCCCGGTTATTGTTATTGTGAAAGCCGGTTGGGTCTTAGCGCCGTGAATAGGCTTTTTAATTAGAAGCCAACATGCCCGATTTTACATTTGATGAGTCATTACTGAGGAATGAAGTCGCCTCCCAAATATGAATATGCATCAGCTCATTCGAACTACATTGTTAGTTTAATATTAAACACAGTTATTACTTGATGGTTAAACTAAGAGGAGCTCATGAACAAGCAGAAGTCTCGGGCAGGCTCTGGAGAATTCAGCCAGGGGTGCCCAGAAATCAAAGGACACGGACATTTGATCCGGCCTTTGAATTAATGTTACTCTTCCAGCACGAGCCCAACATGTCCACCAGCACGAAGCCATTTCGTGGAAGCAGCTCCAAAAAAAACCACTTTTGCCCTGGCCACACACATTTCACTGTTTTTAAGGGCAATAAATTAACTAAAGAAGAATAGGAAGAAGGTAAGAGGGGAGGAAGCTAAGCAGGATCTATGGCAGAAGCTGCAGCAGCTGCAGGGATGGGTGAGCTGCTCAGGAGGGTCCTGCCAGCTTTAGGCACTCCTGCTGTGGGTGCTGCAGGGGCCAGCCCCACCGGGACCCCCGGGATGACGGGGGCCAGCCCCCCCAAAGCTTATAACTCCCCCTGGAGCAGCCAGGCCAGGCTGACAGGACTCAGAGCAAGTTGCTCTGGTGGAAGGTGTCCCTGCCCATGGCTGAGGCGCTTTTCCAGAATTCCAGGCCTGGCAGGAGCCGAGCAGCAGTGGGACACTGCTTTGGGGCACCCAGCATTGGGACACCGCTTTGGGATTTCTGGGTGTCCCGTGCAGAGCCGTGCCGGGCTCCCCGGGCTGTGCCGTGCAGAGCCGTGCCGGGCTCCCCGCGGTCCCTCAGCCCAGGCCATGCCCCGATATCAATTTAAGGTCCCTTCCAGCCCGGGCCGTGCAGCGGCTCCGCTCTCCCCGCACGGGCCGTGGGAGGAGGCCGCGGTGCCCGGCCGGGCTGGCTCGGGGCCCGCCGGGCCGGTAATCGCCGCCTCAGCACTTTTATTTTCTGCCTGCCCCCCGCCGGAGCGGGGCAGAGTCCAGCGGGGCCCGGCCCCGGCCCGCAGCCCCTCAGCCCCGCGGCCCCTCACCTGCACGATGGTGCGCGGCCGCACGGACAGCGTGGGGAAGTTGCCGCGGCCGTGGATGGGCACGGCCTCGCCCAGGATCTGGTCCAGCCGCTGCACCTGCTCCCACGTCAGGACGCTGAAGCGGCTCCCGCGCTGCTCCGCGCCGCCCGGAGCGGGCCCCGCCGCCGCCTCCAGCATCGCCCCCGCCGCCGCCGGAGCCGCTCGCCCGGAAACCGCCGGAAACCCGCCGGAAGTGCCGGTGCGGGGGGGAGCGGGAGGAAAATTTAAAAGTGGGGGGAGGAAAGCAAAAAAAACAAAACAAGAAACAACCCCCCCAGTGGCGCCGGCGAGGGGCGGCTGCGCGGGGCGCGGCGGGAGCGCGGTCGGTGCCCGCAGGGACTCGCACAGAACCGGCCCCGGCCGCCCCCCGCCCGCCACCGGCTCCGCCGAGCGCTGCGCCCGCCCGCGCCCAGCCGCGCCTTTTATGGACCCGCGCCGCGCCCCATTGGCCCGCGCCCCCGCCAATCCCGGCCCGAGCGCGGGCCCAGGGGGAGGAGCGCGGCTGGACCGGGGCCAATCGAAGCGGCGATGAGGGGAAGGGGGCGGGGCGAGGGGCGGGGCGGGGCGAGGGGCGGAGCGGGCCCGGGGACACGGGTGACAGCGACAGCACCGGGGGACACGGGTGGCACCGGGGGACAGGGACAGACCCAGGGATACGGGGACAGGGACAGACCCGGGGGACACCGGGTGGCCCTAGGGTGTCCTGTGGGACCCCAGCCAGGGCCTTGATGTCCCACTGAGTCACCTCGTGCCACAGCAGTGCCCTCTGATGTCCTGTCGGTTCCCTTTGGTGCCCCATTGGTGCCCTTTGATATGCCCTGGTACCCTTTGGTACCCCACTGATCCCCCACTGATACCCCACTGATACCCTATTGGTACCTCGCTGATGCCCCTGATGTCCCATGACCTGGTGCCCCATGAGCTGGTGCCCCGGTGATGCCGCATTTGTACTCTGGTGCCCCACAGATGCCCGGTGATCTGACGCTCCATTGGTGCCCATCCATGCTCTCTCTGCCGGCTGGCGCCCCATTGATTCCCCTGGAGTGATGCCCACGGTCTGGCACCCCACAGATACCCCGTGGTCTGTCACTCCACAGCTCAGTGTGCCCATCCTGGCACGCCCAGCTCCCCCTGGCCCCTGTCCCGGGCCAAAAGGGCCCCATGTGCCAGCTCTGGGTGCCACCCTGAGGCGATGGAGCTGCAGGAGCTCAGAGCCAGCCCCTGGATCGCAGAGCGTGGCCCAGCTCCCAGCGGAGCCACCGCCTCCCCCTGGGGCCAGAGGTGTCCCCAGCCTCTGACCGGCCGTTTCCTTTCATCCCAACAATCCCATCCCTCTGCAGCGCTCATTTCTCCGCGTTTCACCCCGCAGACATTTGCAGCAGGGCCCTCCCTCCCTGCCGAGCCGCTGCCCCGCGGCCCCGGGAAGGACAGAGCGACTCCAGCTCCGGACCTGCACGGCCGCTCCCATTGCCCGGGCTCCTCCTTCCAGCTGGGACCCTCCTCGGGAGCCCAGAGCCCCCCAGGAGCTGGGACCCCTCCTTGGAAACCCAGAGCCCCGGCAGGACCTGAGCCAGGGCTGGTTGTGTTTTACACCTCGCAGGGTTTGATTGCAAGGACTCCCCTGAAAACCCCCGATCATCCACCCTGGGACTCTCCACCTCAGGGCAGGCGCTGCAGAGCTCTCCCAGGAGGCCGAGTCTGGCTCGGGAGACCTGCCCCATCCCAGGGCTGGATGCTGGGAGCTGGAGCTGGCTGCAGAAAGGGGAGCTGGGGGAATCGGGGCGCTCAGGAGCATCCACAGAGGGGTAGGAAGGGAGGGAAGGGCAGTGGAGCCCTGATTCCCCCTGGAATCGCCCCATCCCTGATGCGCTGACAGCCAGAGGGGCTCCCGGGGGTCCCCACTGAGATGCTCCTCCTGCTGTGGGGTTTTGCTCCCTGGCTTTGCACCCCTGTGACTCCGCAGGAATCAAAAGCCGCTCCTGGGTGCTCCCAGCTGGGGCACAGGACAAGGGCAGCCCTGCTGGAAACGGATTTTCCAAGGAACTTGATTAAAAATCAGGCAGCTGCCTCTCGTTGCAAAACCCTTTTGACGTTGCTGGTGAAAAGGCTGGATCGGGGAGGGTTTCCCAGGAGGCTGAGAGGGGCCGAGTGGCTTTGGGGATGGCTCCATGCACCGGGGGTGCAGCCGGAGGAAGGGCTGAGCGGGGCTGAGCATCCCACGGGCCCGGGGGACCCGGCTGTGGGATCCGGGCAGGGAGAGGAGCTGCGGATCCCTCTGGGATGAGCTGGGGGGGCTCTGGTGCTGCTCCGTCCCTCGGGGGTCTGGGGTCCGCAGCACCCGGACCCCGCTCCATCCCCGGAGATCGGCGTGGGGAGCAGCGGGGACACCCCGGTTCCGGGCACGGGAAGGGGCACGGGGGGCAGAGTGGGACCCTCCCCACCCTGACGGGAGCCCCTCGGGGCGCTGGGGACCCCTCGGGGCAGCCCCGGGCAGCGGGAACCGGGGCTCAGGAGCGGGGAGCGGCCGGCACTGGGGCAGTGGGTGAAAACCTCTCCGGCCTGCGGGGAAGGGACCTCGGGCGCTCCGTGACGCGCGTGGGACGGCTCCGACCCACTCGGCATTAGCAGGGCGTGTGCCACCTCCCTGAGCAAGCACAGGGACCCAGCCCTGCTCCCGGAGCCACCGGCGTCACGCAGCCGCCCCGCGGGAGCCGCCAGCGGGCGGGGGCGCGCCGGTGTCCCCCTCCCACGGCACCGGCCCCGTGCCCCGGCAGCTGGCACCGTGCGGGCACCGCTGTGGCACAAACTGGCACCGTGCGGGCACCGCTGTGCGTGGCTGCCCCACGCGGGCATGAAGTGTCTCCAGGTGGGCATCGCTGTGCGTGGCTGCCCCACGCGGGCACAGTGTCCCCAAGCGGGCACAAACTGTCCCCACGCAGAGTCCAGCCATGCCGCTGCACAAAAGCCACCGTCCCTGGCCAAACAGGCACTGTGCCCAGCGCAGCTGCTGCTGTCCCCGCTCTCGTCACTGTCCCCACGTCCACGCTGCCATCCCCACGCGCACGCCCGTGCCCACGTGTCCCTGTGGGTTTAGCAGGTGGAGTTCTCTCCGTGGCCTTGTCCAAGTCCTCCCTGGGCAAACACGGCTCCTGGACACCTCCCAGGCGCTGGAGCTGCTGTCCGGCCCCGCTCACTGCCACACAGCCAGCCTGTCCCCGAGGTGCCACCGCCGCTCCTCGCTCCGCCCTGGGGCAGCGCCACCAGCTGCTGTGGCTGCAGCTCTCCAGAGAGGCAGGGCACCGTCCCCGTGCTGGCCACAGCAAGGCTGGCTTTGGATCAGGGCACTGCGAGCGCCCACTGCACGGCATGAGGGGTGACACTGTGCTGCCACTCTCTGATCTCAGCCTGGCGTCCCTGTGTCACCGCCCTGGCCCCCCAGGCTCGGCCACATCCCCTCCTGGAAGGGATGATGAGTGATGCTGCCCGAGAGGGGCCACCCGGCAGGCGCTGGGATGAAAGGGAGTGCAGGGTGTCATTAGTGCAGGTGACACAGAGCTCGGGAATGGCACCTGTCACCTGCCCTGGCTGCTGCACAACGCTGCCCGGGGAGTGGGGGGGACACGGCCCCGCCGGGCTGTGGGGACGGGGACACAGCAGTGACCCCAGCGCTGACGTGCCCTGCCTGAATCTGCCCCGGGTGTCGCTGGCTGGGGACACTCCTGTCCCTGGCAGCATGACCCGTGTGTCCCCAGGCTCGGTGGCTTCCCGGTGACACCACGTGCTGTTTTTCTTGGCGTGACCTGTGCCTCTCCAGCCCTGGCAGGGGATGACCCATCCCGGTGCCTCAATCGGGGCTGGCAGGGAGCGCAGCCGCTCCCTTCGCTTTGGGCTCGGGGCCCCGGGTGACACCGAGTGCCCTGCAGGCGGTGGCAGCTCCAGGGCTGTGCCCTCTCCTCTGGGGACAGCCGGGAGCTCTGCTCTGGAGGCTGCTGAGCCTGCAGCAGCTGCTTCACTCGGGCAGGGACTTCATGGGCACCTCCAGGGCTCTGCTGGGGCCATGGGGACAGTCCCTGCACCCCAGGCTTCGTGCTGGACCACAGAGGGAAACTGAGGCACGAGAAAGCCCTTCTGGCTGGGGCAGAGGCAGCAGATCTGTAACCCTCATGGATGGGGGCTGTGGAAGGGGCATAAACACCTTGGAACACACATGGAAGGACAAGGTCATCCTGCTCAGAGTCCCTTTTCTCCCTGTTCTTGGTGCCACCAGCAAGGCCCAAACACATTCTGGGAGGGAGAGGGGGATATGGGGCACGGGGGAAGCACACAGGGAAAAGACATCACTGCCAGGATGGGGGACTGGGGGGACACGCTGGGGCATGGGGGGCACACAGATCACTGCCAGGACCGTGGGGCCAGGGGGACACGCTGGGGCCCCTCCACCCCCCGGCCCCAGCACCGTGAGTGCTTTGGCAGCGCCTCAGTGGTGACAGCACAGCCCCGGAGGGATCGTTAGTCCTCCCTCATTAAAAAAGTTACTCACCCTTTGAGACAGAAACAAGAATATCCTGGAAATGCCTGGGTTTGGGGAGCTCTCGCTCTAAAGGCATGACTGCCACCAGGCTGCAGGCGATGCTCCCCAGCACGTGGGCAGGTGAGTTACCTGGGCACCGCCCGGGGCTGCCGCGCTCCTGCTGCTTCCTCCGTGTCCAGGGTGGGCAGCGGACAAACCACCCCGGGCCCTGCTCGGGATGCCAGGGTGGCGCCCACTGAGCTGGCACCGCCTGTCGCACGTCCCCGGCCACCTCCCCGTGCCCGGGCCCCCTCGGGCCGGCCCTGCAGCGGGTGAGGCCGCTGTGCCCGCGGGCACGGGGACCCTGGCGCTCAGGTGTGCCGGGCAGGTGAGCTGCGGGCTGAGTCACGGCTCCGGCCCGGGGCTTTGCAGCCGCGGAACGAATTCCCAGCGCAATTCCCCGAGCGAGGGGCTGCGCTGCCCCCGACACCCCCGGCCCCGGGCCTCTGCTGAGGCTGGGGGGATCCGGGGCGTTTTGGTCCTTCTTCCACCAGAGAAGGACCCTCTGACCCCCCTGCACACCCTCACAGCACGCAGCTCCAGGGAGGGATTTGGGAGCCCCTCCTGA